GTCAAATTCGTACCGTGCGAAAAGTAACTTCAGGAGTAAAATGAATCGGAAATAAACATTCGTATTGTAGTTATTTACGGCTTACGATGCTAATAATGATTATTAATTTCTTATTAATTAATAATGATTATTAATTTGTTTTTCCCGCATTTTAATGTGGGACCGGTTTGAAACATGACATCATCTTTCCTACCAAGCGATAGACCTTCACGCGAGGCGAGCATTACGTCAACTTGATAAGTGTAAATACATAGTAATTCGCGGCAATGACGACTATATACTGTAGATTGTAGTAAAATTATATTTTTAGATTGTGCGTTGATATTGTGCTCGATATATCATCATATTATTCGTTTATTATGTTAGTGTAGTGTAGTCGGTTAAATAGGAACAGTGGTGTCGGTGGAGTGGGAAAATTTTAGACATGGCTCTGTATTTGTACTATTAGTTAATGGGCATGCAGTGTGCAGACCAACAGCTTTTTTGTTTGTTTGTCACTTGAAAATGACTATGAAAAAAAATATGCGCTGTTGTATTTCATTGTACTCAGTGGCGGCCACTGTTTGCCACCTTTAACGATCTCGTTGGTCTAGTGGTCGAAAGTGCTACTGCTAATAATATGGTCCCAGATTCGAATCCCGGGTAGGGCTGATATCAGTTATTGGGTTTGGCGGCCAGTTGGTGGAATGTCACCCACGTGCCTGGAAAGCACGTTAGAGCGTTGGTCCTGCGACTGATCTCTCTCCGGTCTTAATGGGCTATGAAAGTTAGGGAATACAGATTGCACCTGTGCTTGCATACGCACTCGTACATTATAATCCTTCCTGCGTAGGCTAGTTTAAGTTATTGAAAAAACGAAAACAAGTTACTGTTAGTGTGTTCTATATTTTAAAAGCAAACGATATAATCCAAATGCATAATGATCATTTACAAAATGATGTTTTAATGACAACGCTGATGAGGTAAAGAAACGCTACTCAATTTTAAGATGTCGTTGTTTCGTTGTGTCACAGTCTCTTTCATTTAAAATGATAGAGACAGCACGAGACTTAACGCCATCTTAAAATTGAGCAGTATTTGAATATTTGGACATTAATGGATTAACGATAATTCTGCTCATGACGATAGCCCTTATTTTAACTTGCATTAGTTGAAAACTGTACTCTCAGCCATCTAGCCATCAGCGTGACTATTTTATGAATTTTCGACGACTTCACTAAGAGTTTTTTAAAAGTAAATACGTCTTTGCGGCTTCACCGCCTTGCAACCATGGCAATATCTTTATAATACGAAGTTGGTAACCGTGCTGATTATATTTATTATGGCGACCCGCTCTAGCTTCGCCTGGGTAGGATCTTTTAATGTGGCGTTATTTAGACTTAAGATAACCAAAGATATTTTATCAATTTTTGTATTTTAAAAAAACCTTAAAATGTTTGTCTATAATTGAAGTTTATGTTCACTAATTTATGGAATATGCACTCGGAGTGATCATGGCGAAATTAGGGAAGATATTTATATAGGTCAGGAAGGGTTATTTCGCTACTGCGCAGCGTATGTTTGACATTATTTCAAAAATATGTATTTTTGGAAATATTTCAGTTTTCAAATTTTTAGCCCCAAAAATAAATCGCAGACTATTTGGACGATATTGAAGTAGCTATCAATCGACTGCCACGAATATGTTTCATTATTTTCATCATAATTTTATACGTGGTAGAGCCATGGTGCAGTTATATTACTGGTATAGTTGTAGCACGAATGGCTCGGCTCCATTTAAGAAGGACCACGCTCTCACAGAATAGCAGCTAAACGCTGCTGTGTTTCGTATGATTAGTGTAGATAACCGGAGACCCTTTTTTACTGGAAACGATGCATTCCATCTTAGTCCTCACGGCTGACAACGCATCTGCATTTTAATTCAAAGCTGTTTATTGGTTTCAGTTTATTTATATAAGCCAAAATTAACATTAGGCGCTCTGAATTTTTTATGGCAGTTTCAGTAATTAATATTGAATGTAATTGATGCAAAAAAGAAACCAGACGAATACGTGGGTTTTAAATAGTTACCTGACACGAATAAAGGTTTTAAATGAGTGCGACAAGAAAGTAATATGCGTGGACTGTAGACACCTATGTAGAGATCGAGAGAGAAAGTTTATTGGTACCCATTGGCAGCGCCTGGGACCTGATCCTCGCCGTGCTGTAATTGGTTGCTCAAAGACATGACTCGAATTCAGCATATAGCTCGAGCTGTTTTGCATTTTGAAGCATTTCCATTAAAGAAGAAAAACATTCTTTTTGAGCAATTTTAATGGTTAAAGGAACTGTTATAAAAAAGCAAAGTAATTTACATATTTCATAAAATATTTTGCCAAAAATAACTATAAATTTTTTAATGTAAATAATTCGAAAAATTTATATTTCAAAACAATTTTTTTTTCAATCTTAATTTATTGAAATGATTTTCTTGTCATATGGAATCCCTATTCAGATTTCAGACAACATATTTTTTTTATATTTAAAGTAGATTTTTTATATTAATTGATATCAGATTAATTTAATTAGAGGGGAAAGGCCACGCTGTCACAAAATACTAGCGTAAAGCCGCGTCTCCACCAAAAATGTTGACAACATAGTCAAGTTTACGGGAACGTAAAATGATTTTTTAAAAACTATTTAAAATCTATTTATTTCTAATTACAATAATTATAATTCTAATTACTTAATTAATACGTCTTGAAAGAAGTCGATGTCAAAACGAAGTGGCCGCTCCCATGAGCTCTGCCTGATATCTCATGCAACCAAAAGCGCTGACTACAGTTACTGGATACTGCCTAATGCTTATGCAGCCCCCTCTAGGTACAAACCCTAACAACCACAACAACATAAATGTAGTTATGCAACCACAAGACCATAGGGTCTTGTGGTTGCATAACTACATTTATGTTTCCAACTGTTGACAAAGCAACAAAAATTTCCAACATTTGTTTCCGAAAATGTTTCAAAATGTTCCAAGAATCGTCTCCACCGAGGGAACAAATGCTTGCAACAAGCGTATTCCTTTGATGTTGCCGCCGAAAATGGAAACACGATTCCCGACATTGTTTCGTTTTGTTGCTAAAACAAATTGATTACAGAAACATTTGTTGGCAACACGTGTTGCCAACTGTTGTGTTGACAACACGTTTTGCCAACAAATGTTTCTGTCAACAAGCGTCTCCACCGAGGGAACCAATGTCGGCAACAAGCGTATTCCTTTAATGTTGCCGCTGAAAATCGAAACAAGTTTTGTTGGCAAATGTTGTGTTGACAACAAAATTTTGGTGGAGACGCGCCATAAAATCACAGAATAATGTTGCTGTGTTTCGGATAGAGAGTGTAGAGACTGAAAATCGGACATTCCATCATAGTCCTCATGGTAAAACAACGCATGTATGTATATGAATTATGGACCGTAGTATTCACTATTCACTTGAACTTTGTGCTCGTTTTTCCAGAATTATTTTATTAAAAATAGCTCTATAGTAAGAACAGGCGTTGAAGTTAATATTTGTTTACCAATCAATTTTTAAAAATAAATTCATATCACCATAAATCTATTGAAATCTTAAAAACTATAGTTTTATTTGATCTCATTTGTCATCAGAAATAAAGATTTATTATTATTATTATTATTCCTCATAATTCATTTTACTCTGAGCTACACAAGCTGAACTAGAGTCATATGCTCCTTTAACAACCAATCACAGCCCGGGGGGCCTGGACCCCAGCAGCTGCGGGCAGGTACCAGGTACCGATAACTTTTCTCTCTCGTACCTACCTGTGTTTACGCATACTACTTTCTGTCGCACTCATAACCTTTATTCGTATCAGGTAATTATTTAAAATAAACCGTCGAATTTTTCAGCCGTTTTGCACCAGCGAATGGACGTCGTTATGAACATATTTTTTAATATTAGTTAATAAAGAGTTCTTAAAGTAAGTATATTTCATAGAATAAGAGTGAGAAACGCAATCAAAAAAGAAACAAAATCCACTTGGTCATGTGAAGATGCTTGTAGCCCAAAGACAATCATAGAAAGACATATCTATCCTCATTTAATCACAATACAGATGCGTTATCCCTTGCGTTGTCTTCAATGATTCCTGACTCGACTTTCGATTCCAGATTCACTTACATCGATATACTCCTGCTTTTATATTTGTAATAATTTCAAATTGCCTAAATTACATACCTCAAATTCATTATTAACTCATGGATTGTCCTTGTTAATTTATTTTCTATCTGAATTCGATTAAAACTAATGACTGTTGAGATAATGTTCAATAGAGTAGAACGCTAACAGCCCATCTGGAGCCAATTACTATCAAAGAAGGTTAAAAATGGATTGTCATCCCTAAAGACCAAGATAGTTTATTTTTGTAGATTTCTTTACTCATTTTCTTTGCAGGAGAAGTAGGTAGATAGACGGTACGTATCCATACGGACTCTAGTTTGAAAAGCTACCAACGAAGTAAAACTAAACACTAAGTAATCTATTTTTATCTAATCATGGAAATCAAGATTTAGATCGAATATCTTGTAACTTGATTACCTTGTTCGAGTGTCAGTTTTAATTCAGTATATTGTGTTATAATATTATATCTTAGATTATTCATAAGTATTGATATGATTACGTGGAAACAGAAGGTTTTGTGAGGGTGTCAAACTGGCATACAAATGGTAAATAGTTGCTGAGGTCCATAGCCTTAATCTATACTCAAAACCAATAAAATAGGTTTCCGGTTTTCGTCACTGATTATACGAAACACAGCAGCATATTTCACGCTAATATTCTGTGCAAGCGTTGAGTCCCGGTTGAGTCGATCCGTTCGTGCTGCAGTCAGCTATTTTTTATCTTGTATTTTTAGTGTAAAAAATAGAGTATTACAAAAAGAACGAAATATTTAATCTTTTTCTGTTTAAGATCTAACGTAAACAACTGTCATCATTTCAGGCGCTGACTTGCTCATGCGTGGCCTTGCACTACCACAGCTACAACGCTGAGGCTGACGTTGGCATGCTTGTCACCGGGACGTTCGTCGGTTACCTTATTATATTTGCCGGAGCTGCTGCAGGTGATATTTCTTACACTTTATATTTTTTAAGAAGCATATCTGTTGTTATAACTTTTCTTCGTCAGCTGTAAAGGCTTTCTCCTGGATATGGGTATCCTGTAGTAGGAAGGATTGTCATAAGCCACGCTTTGCTGTTGGGGATTGGTGAATACAGTTCCAAACGTCTCGCATCTTTGAAGCTGCTCGCCGTTACCGGCCTGAAAGTGTCGGCGCAGACGAGATAATTATACCGCGACCTGTCAGAAGACGAGATCTTATGGCACTTCCCATTCACTATAACTTATTTTTTTTTGAATGCCAGATATTTATTGTAAGTTACAATTGGTTTTAATACAAAAAATGAGGTGTCTTACAATTTAACCACTCTTTTTCGGGTATTACTATATTTATTATAATTAATAAATTTAACATACTAAACAAAATTAAATACTGAACAAAGTTGTTGGTTATAAGAATTAAACGATTATTCATAATAATAAAAAAAAAACGTAATAATTATAAAATAAAGAATACAATTGCAATTGGATTTATTGTAGAGTATTTTAGTTTTTTAGATATTCTTTCAAATTATCAAATATTTTTTAAGTTTTTTATTAAAATGGAAGCAATTTGCTTTCATTTCTAATATACAAAGGTAATCGTAAGGTAAAAATAATATTGAAAAATATTTATTAATTTACTAAGTGTTAGTTCTATTTATTTATTTTAAAACTAGCTATGCCTGCGGCGTAGCTGGCGTGTGTTTACTTTAGTATTTTGACGTTTAGGTCATATATCTTTATATATCATTTAGATCATTGCCGTGGAAAAAAACGTTGCAACAAAATAAATTGCTATCGTCAAAGTTCTATATCGTTTATGATAGGGCTTCTGTGTAAACGACGTTAGAAATAGACCCAGTGGGGGCGTATACTAAAAGATTGGGGCCTACTAACGCGAGCCAGATCAATATAAAGTTTGTACTGTTGTGTAACTATATATACTTTTATTTATTTTAATTTTAAAATATTTATTGCGTTGTCTTAGAAAAAAAAGGATATAAAGTATCTAAAGGCATTTTCTACCAGTCAACCCGTGGTGAGAGTTTGTCGTAGGTGTAGCAATTGAGAGAAAAAAAAGAAGAAAAAGAAGAGAAACTAAAATAAATACACATTATACGAGGGACACACTGACATGATCGGGAATAAAAAAAACCACATGCACGGTATAGCTAAATTGTATTTTATTGTTTTTCGAAGTATTCTCCGTTCAACTTAATGCACTTTTCCATTCGTGCAAACCAATCATTAAAACAGTAATTCCAGTCTGAAGTTCATGTTGACAAAATGGCTGATTTGCACGCTTCCACAGCTGCTTCGGGGTCTTCAAACTGTTGACCGCGTAGTAAATCTTTCACTCTAGGGAATGTAAAGAAATCGTTTGGGTTCAGGTCAGGATTGTACGAAGGATGGTTCATCAGCTCAACGTTTTCCTGCTTCAAAAAATCATTTGTCTTCCGAGCCGTATGGGAGCTCGCATTATCGTGATGTAAGATGATGCGACGTTTCGGGTTATTTTTTCTTAGTTCAGCTATCATTTCTGGCAAACAAACCGTGATATACCACTCAGAGGTAACCGTTCTGCGTTCCTGTAAAGGAACTGTAGCAACATGCCCCTTTTTTAAGACAAACGTAGCGACCATTTTCTTTGACACCTTGTGGGGGCGAACCACTTTGTTGGTTTGACCTCGTCTTCGAAGACCCAAACTGCTGACTGATGTTTTCTTTCAGGTTCGTATGAATAAATCCATGATTCGTCACCTGAGACGATATTATAAACGGCATTTGACTTCCCTCCGTTGAAGCGTTGCAGAGTATTCCGGTACCAATCTACACGAGCTGCCTTTTGCTCTTCGGACAAATTGTGGGGAACCCAGCGGGAAACTAGCTTTCTTACACATAACTCATTATGTAATATTGACTGAATTGTATTCATTCCGAAACTGATAACAGCCCGAATCTGCTCGTATGTCACATGACGGTCATCTAATATAATAGTTCGTACAGCTGCGATGTTTTTAGGCGTGACCGCTGTTCTTGGTCGACCTGCAGAAGAAACAGTGCTGAGCGACACACGACCGCGTCGGAACTACGCATACCAACGGTATATTGTCGTTTGACTCGGTGCTTCAACATCATAAATCGAAACAAGTTCGCTGAGACATTTATCTTGAGATAAGCCGCGACGAAAATTGTGATAAATTATGGCACGGAAATGTTCACGCTTGAGTTCCATTTCTGTTAACGACGTGTCAACTTTAAACCAACATAGTTTTTGTTTTTAAACTTTTTTTTTAATTGTTTGAATGTCATTAAGATTCTAAGAGGCCAGTATTCAAATTCTAAAAAAAGGTTTTATTGTAACTCAATCCGAAATATTCTATTCCCGATCATTTCAGTGTGCCCCTCGTACGCCACAAAATACATTATGATATAATATTGTAAGTATATATATATATATCCGTATATTAAACTATACATAAATATTCTTATCTTAAATCTATAATCGTTAACTTTGGCATTATCATTTAAAACGCTATTGCGAGAAATCATTAAGGCTATTATAAAATTCGTAGATAAAAAGTGATGTCATGTAGATAAAGAATAACTTTAAAGAATAACACCGCACGTTTAAAGTTTTTAAATTACGATACTGTTATCTATTACTACAAAATGAAAATATTATCTTTCTTTATGTATCGTTAGCTCTCTTAGTTTATTTATCTTCCGTTAATAATATGCATGGGTGTTATCCGTCTACCTAAGTTGTTAAGTCATCTTAAAAGATACGGATTTCGAAAATGTATTTAAAAATATTTAGTAGCTAAGAAAGATAAAAGTTAAAAGATAAAAATGTTTATTACAAGAAATTAAGAAATATCTAGTACGTAAAATAAAAAATAAAAAACATAACGACCAAAATGGACGTAATGTTTATGTATTATGTAAAGAAATCTGCAGTCTATATACATATACGTTCCACTCCTAGGCACTCATTTCTGAGAGGGCAAGAAAGTGTCAACCGCGCTGCCTCAATGCCTGTTGGCGGACTTCACATGTATTCGAAATATTTTTTTATATTTCATTCATGCAGCTCTCTTTACCATAGTTTCCTTTATAGTCCCGTAAGTGGTAAATCAGCATTTGAAATTGCAATTAACAATTTCATTGGTGCCGGCGCGTATTGATCCCGGGTAACTCCCCTACTACTGTGAGATTTACAGCGAGGCGCTTAACCATTTAGCTACATCGAAGATTAATTAAAATTACAAGATTATAATATTTGACTAAAAATTATATAAATCACTATATCTTCGTACCTTCGGGGTTTTGTTAGGACTTGATTGACTTGACTTGACCGTCACGTCGGCGGATTGTTGCTCCTGTTTTATAGTTTAATTATTGGTTTGAAGTAGATGTAGATTTGTAAAAGTGATACGATTTTGTTTATTTTCTCTATTATATCTGAGCATGTGAATTATTATTTGAAACTATATTGGAAACCCTGGAAATAAATTCTAATATATTAGCTACCAATAATTTTAATTTAATTATTATTTAATATCCGGCTCAATTTGGTGTTAGGATTATTAATTGAGTTCTAATTATATTGTTGATTAAGTAAAAACATAAGTCACATACCTAAATACATTATGTTTAAACGTTCGGATTTTATGTTACAGGTAACGTACACATTATAGGAATGTTATTTTACATTGTATTTAGTTTGCATTTTTGTTTTCTGTACTACTGTACACCCAGTGCGTGTTGCCAGTGATGACATACGGAACTGAGACGTGGTCCTTCACTGCTGGCCGGATGAGGAAGCTAAAGGTCGCTCAGCGAGCTATGGAGAGGGCTATGCTCGGAGTTTCTCTGCGTGATAAACTTAGGAATGAGGATATCCGCAGTAGAACCAGAGTAACCGACATAGCCCAACGGATTAGTAAGCTGAAGTGGCAATGGGCCGGCCATGTAGCTCGAAGAACCGACAACCGATGGGGAAGAAAGGTTCTCGAGTGGCAGCCTCGTACCGGTAGGCGAAGTGTGGGGCGTCCCCCCACGAGATGGAGTGACGACCTGGTAAGACATGCAGGAAGTCGATGGATGCAGGTGGCTCAGGACCGTGCTTTGTGGCATTCTTTGGGGGAGGCCTATGTTCAGCAGTGGACTTGTGAAGGGCTGTAATGATGATGATGATGATGAAACATTTCATTTAAGATCTACAAATATAACCTAAAATCCTAACGTCTTGACCTTCTTTACACTGCTACATCTGTATTAATTGGGAGTTCTACTTCTATCATTTATAATAAATACCTAGCAAAATTAATACTCATAACGCCAAGACGCGCCAGCTCGAGACCCAATTACAGCTCGCGCTTCAGGAACTAAAGGCATGCAAGAAGTAGTGCTATTACTAAAGGAAAGGGATGACAATGAAAATAAATGATTGAAATAATACACAATTAAATTGGGATCTGATAATATTACACATTTCAATACTTCACCTTTTCTATTAATGTATTAAAAGAAAAGGTGAAGCTGAGAACGGTCAATGAGTTTGATCAATGCAGCAAGCGAAAACTTTCAAATTTATTACTGCATTGCCATAATAGTTGAATGAAGCTCAAGGATTAAATTTACAATTCAACAAAAATATAGACAACTTTAACAGTGGACTTGGCAGGCCTTCACACCAAGAACAGCAGTAAGAATCGCTTGCTGTAAAAATAAAGTTAATAATGTCAAAATAATTTTTAATTGAGATGAATAGATGGATAGCATTACGACTGAGTAGTTATAAAACTGACATGGAGTATCTTAATTCTGAAATTTCTTTATTTTAAACTCACTACACGTTATTTATCTAATATATAAAAATTAATTTTTTTCTGTTCGTATTTTATGCGCTGCCATACCGTTAATGAGATTGCGCTAAAACTTTGTTAAATTATTGCT